TTTTGGGACTGGGGTATTGCGGAACAGAAGCACTACAGAGATACGTGTTTCCAGATCAGCAGGTTTGCAGAGAGCCTTTCCTGTGTTCCTGCAGTCGGCCACACGTCTTCCTTCCCGGTTTTCTTCCCCTTCGGATCAGTATGATTTTTAACTGTGGTGTTGCACCCTAAGCCCGTCAGACTGTGACGGCGGCATGTGGACTGTAGTCCCTGCTGTGACCCAGCAGGTCAGGACGCTGTGAGGTTTCTCTTCCTGCTATTGTCCTGGCCTTTCCCTTATTGTTGGGAGTGTGCTCATGCTTAGCTCGCCTCTCAGTCTGGGTGTGGGGTGGAAATGGCCCCGTGTTTACAAAGGCACACGCTGGCATCACTGATATCAATATGTACTCTCATCGGAGAGGCTAAAGGTCAGGGAAGAATACACAAAAGATCCTCTGTTGGAGAAGGAAGACTCACAGAATGCAAGAGATAGGCCCTTTATGTAACCCTCTGGGTACAAGAGGTGGAAAGGTGGTGGGGGAAGGAGTCATCCAGGGAAGTTCTGTAGGACTAAGCTATCACTGAGGAAGTACTCCGGCCTCACCTGTAAGGTACAAATTCCTGGATTCGGTGACCTTCTGTGATCATCTATGACTGACACCTTACATAAGTTACAGCTGGTGACTAGAAAAGCCACACGGGAACACAGTATTGACTGGATGGCCAAACACAGTTCATAACCTAGACCTCTTAGCATTCTGGCAAACGACCACGCCAGCTGCTGAAGATGTCTTATCTCCTGGACACTATAGTGGAACGCATCACAAGTGTACCTTAAAATACAGGACAAAAAAACGCAAGAAGGAAAAGCCTTTAAAAGGTTTGGGTGGATAAGGAAGAAAAAAGGTATTTGTGTGCTTAATACATGACAGGTGCTTGGTGTGTAAAATGCTGAAAGATAATCTACGTCAAATATTAACTGTACAGACAAATCTTTAGCTAGATTAACTAACAAAAAACAAGAGAAGGTTCAAACAACTAAAATCAGAAATAAAACAGGAGACGTTAAATCCAGTGCCACAGGGAGAGGGGGGGAAAGATTTTAGGAGAATATAAGGTGTATGGCAACAAACTGCATAACCTAGAAAAATGGTTAAGTTGCTAGAAACATACATCCTATCAAGGTCAAATCAAGAAAGAGAAAGCCAGATCAGATCTAAAATGGTAAGGATATTGGTTCGGGAATCAGAAGCCTCCTAACAAAGAAATGAACCGTACTGGTGAAGGCTACCAAACAATTAAGGAGAAATTAACACCAATAGTCCTCAGACTCTTCCAAAACTGTGAAGAGGAGGGTACATACGCTCATTCTATGTGACCAACATTACCCTCCTAGGAAAACAGAAAGAAACACTACAAGAAAATTACATATCGATATCTGTGGTGAATACTGATGAAGAAATACTCAACAAAATCCTAGCAAACCGATTTCAAGAGCATATTAAAAGGATTATACACTATGACCAGGTGGGGCTTATTCCTGGAATACAAGGATGGTCCAACACACAAAAATCAGTGTCATATACCATATTATCAAAATGAAGGACAGGGGTGCCTGGGTGGCTTAGTCGGTTAAGCGTCCGACTTTCGCTTAGGTCATGATCTCACGGTTCGTGGGTTCGAGCCCCGCGTCGGGCTCTGTGCTGACTGCCAGCTCAGAGCCTGGAGCCTGTTTCAGAGTCTGTGTCTCCCTCTCTCTCTGACCCTCCCCTGCTCACTCTGTCTGTCTGTCTCTCTCCTAGAAATAAATAAAAATATTTTTTTAAAAAAATGAAGGACAATGTCAATTGAGATGGAAAAACCATTTGGCAAAAGTCAATACCTTTTCATCCTATAAACACTGAGACTGGAGAAGGAAAACTAGGCACACTAAAACTACCTCAACATAAAAAAGGCCTTCTATGAAAAGCTCACAGCTAACATCATACTTAATAGAAAAAGGTTGGAAGCTCTTCCTCTGAGATCAGGACCAGATAATGACACTTTCTCTTGTCACTCTTATGCACAGTACTCACGTCCTAACCGGAGCAATTAAGCAAGAAAAAGAAACAAGAGGCATCCAAATTGTAAAGGAAAAAGGAAAGCGATCTCTGTTCACAAATGCCATGATCTTGTCTTTGTAAAAAAAACCCAGAAGATTCCAAACACACAAAAACTGTTAGAACTAATAAATTCAGCAACATGGCAGGAAACAAAAGTCAACATGCAAAAGGCAGTTGCATTTCTATACAGTAACTGTGAATGATCTGAAAAGAAAGTTCAAACAATTGCCTTTATAGTACATCGAAAAAGAATACAGTTTTTAAGACAGCAAGAGACTTGTACACTGAAACTACAAATCACTGCTAAAAAAAAATTAAAAGACACTTCATGTTCATGAAGTGGAAAATCGGATTCGTTAAAATGTCTACACTACCCAGAGCAATATACAGATTCTGAGCAATCAATACCAAAATCCTACTGACATTTTTTTGCATAAAATACAGAAATCCATTCTAAAATTTACATAGACTTTCAAGGACTCTTAATAGCCACAAAAATATTGAAAAGGAAGGGGCGCCTGGGTGGCTCAGTTGGTTAAGGGTCCAGCTTCAGCTCAGGTCATGATTTCATCGTTTGTGGGCCGTGTCAAGCTCTGTGCTGACAGCGCGGAGCCTGGAGCCTGCTTTGGATTCTCTATCTTCCTGTCTCTCTGCCCCTCCCTCCCATGATCACACTCTGTCTCTCTCTCAACAAAAAATAAATGTTAAAAAAAAATAAAAATTAAAAAAAAAATTGAAAAGAAAAGTAAAAGTTGGAGGTCTTACATTTCTCCATTTGAAAACAAAGTTATAGCATCTGAAGGAACATGGTACTGGTGTGCTGACTCATGGAATAGAACAGAAATCACAGAAAGAAATCCTCAAACATATGACTGAATGATCTTCAACAAGATGCTGAGACCATTCGTTAGGGAAGAAAGGGCAGTCTCTTCAACAAACTCCCACAAAACTGGGAATATGGGACATCTAAATGCAAAAGAATGAAGTGAGACCCTATCCCACACGCAAAGATCCACTCAAGATTAATTAAAGACCTTAAGCAGAAAATTCATAGAAGAAAACGTGGGAAACCTTTATGAAATTGGATATTATAACGTCTTAGATAGGACACCAAAATTACACAGGCAATGAGAGCAAACAGAGCAAAGTGGGCCTGCATCTATCTTAAAACATTCTGCACATCAGGGGTGCCTGGGTGGCTCAGTCGGTTAAGCGTCGACTTCCGCTCAGATCGTGATCTGACTGTTCATGGGTTCAAGTCCTGCGTAGGGCTCTGTGCTGACAGCTCAGAGCCTGGGGCCTGTTTCAGACTCTGGGTCTCCCTCTCTCTCTGACCCTCTGCTCATACTGTCTCTCTCTCTCTCAAAAATAAACATAATTTTTTTTTTTTAAATCTGCCCAAAGGACACAATCGAGATGGGGAAAAGAGCAACCTATGAAATAGGAAACACAAATATTTGCAAACCATGCATCTGATAAAGGTTTTATCCAGAAACAGAGAGAACTCGTACAGCTTAACAACCACCAAAAATTAACCGTATTTTAAAAGCGGGACAAGCCTAAGCAGGCATTTCCCCATGGAAGACCCAGAAACACCCAAAAGCATGTGAACTAACGCAGCTTATCCCTCCGGTTCTTACAGTGACTACTAATAGAACCCAGGGGTTGGTGGGCATTTAGTGGTTCATGGGGATGCAGAATCTGTTTCGCAAGGTGAAGAAGTTTTAGAGGTGGCTGGTGGGGACCTGGGCCCAACAGCGTGAACCTACTTACCACCCCCGACTGGACACTTAGCAGATGGACGAGACGGTGAGTTTTGTCCTGTGAGTCTCTTACCAGGAGTAATACAAATTCACCGTCTGGATGGGTTTCCATGATTGAGGCTCGTCAGGGTAAGTCAGTGGGCACAGGTCCAGACGGTGGGTATGACAGAGCTTGTACCCACGCCTGAGGGTCAGATATGTGTGTCGGCCAAGCACAGCCCACGTGGTTACTATGTGACACGTCACTGGGATTAGCATGGTCTCTATCGAATATTCATTCTCTAGTTCTGGAAATAGTCAATTTGCACTTTTGGGTATATGTATCAATATTTAAAAATAAAACAACACATTTCATCAATACAAACTTAAATCCAAAATTACTGTTGTAATTACAATTACTTTTGTTTTCTCCTCTCATATCAAGTCTTCCAAAGACGAAGTGCTCATCTTTTTTTCTGGAAGATTCTTAAAATGGCACTCCATTTTTAAGAGTCTTTCAGCCCTGTTATCTAGAACATTCCTGACCTCCTCACTTTTAGCAAGAAATAGCAGGCAATTCAGTTCTGATCGATCTTTAGTTAACAAGCCCCAAGGGAGAAAAGTCATCTTTGCTTTCAAAGAAAAACAAGCAAAGAAAGGGGCAAAGGGCACACAAACAGACATGCTGAAAATGAATTATGCCTTTAACTTAAAAAAAAAAAATTAGGCTTCTTTGGCAAGATTTAACTGGTTGTTTATCATCAATCTGCTAAAGTTTAATTATTCACCGAAACAACGCTCTACCTGCTTGTGAACAGGAAAAGGCAAAGCCACTCATTAAACTTTGAAGCAATTCTGTCTCGAATATAATCTTCAGATAATATCGGAACACAGGCGCCCTGGTGGCTCAGTGGGTTGAGTGTCACACTTTTGCGTCAGGTCATGATCTCACGGTTTGTGGGTTCGAGCCCCACATCAGGCTCTGTGCTGACAGCTCGGAGTGTGGAGCCTGCCTCGGACTCTGTGTTTCCCTCTCTCTCTGCTCCTCCCCTGCTTGTGCTAGGTCTCTCTCTCCCCCTCAAAAATAAATGTTAAAAAAAAAAAAAAGAAATAAAGAAATGCTGTTCACAGGTTTTTGGACGCACACGTATGACCCCGTGACCGTGAGGGCGCGGTACCTGGCATCAGCGCGGCCGTGGGGAAGACTTCTTTCAGCTTGGTCTGGCTCTCTTCCACCAGCTCCTCCTTGCTCACTGGGAGGTGCAGCACGTCGATGATGATCTGCGCCGCCTCTAAGGCCTTTTTCCCCATGACGAGGGACTTGACGTCCCAGCTATAGTCCTTTCCGTAGCGGTCACAGATTTCCTGGAACACCACGGAATACAGCCGCTCGGTATCTGCAGGAACAAAGAGACGGCGGTGCTCAGGGCGTGGGGAGCGCCCATGAGAGGGGCACGGAAGGTGCCCCGTGCATCCCAGGCCTGGAGCAGCGCGGAAATGGGGGACACCCCACCGGTGGTCCATCCGGAACACCGGCCGTTTGCTCCTGCAGCTGTGATCTGGGCGGGGGAAACTTGGGAAGAGAACGAAGCCCTTCTTCAGGTTAAACCGTGTGGGACACAACTATGTGCGTACTGGAGCCAAAATATGCACACGGGGTGGGGACGCCCATGAGCCATCACATGACACCGTCACCTGGGACAAAAGGTGCCTCCCACCCTCCTACACTGTTGGTGGGAATGTAAGCTGGTGCAGCCCCTCTGGAAAACTGTGGAGATTCCTCAAAAAATTAACAACAGAACTCCCCTAGGACCCAGCAGTAGCACTGCTAGGAATTTACCCAAGGGACACAGGAATGCTGATGCATAGGGGCACATGTACCCCAATGTTCACAGCAGCACTCTCCACAATAGCCAAACCATGGAAAGAGCCTAAGTGTCCATCAACGGACGAATGGAGGAAGAAGATGTGGTTTATCTACATGATGGAATACTCCATGGCAATGAGAAAGAATGAAATCTGGCCACGTGTAGCAACATGGATGGACCTTGAGGGTGTTATGCTGAGCGAAATAAGTCAGGCAGAGAAGGACAAATATCACATGTTTGCACATATAGGGGGATTGGGAGGAACTTAATGGAGGACCGTGGGGGAGAAGAAGGGGGGAGGTAGGAGGGAGAGGGAGGGAGGCAAGCCATGAGAGACTCGAATGCTGAGAACAAACTGAGGGCTGATGGGTGTGGGTGGGGAGGGGGGAGACGGGCATGGAGGAGGGCACTTGTGGGGATGAGCACTGGGTGTTGAATGGAAACCAACTTAACAATAAACTAAGAAAACAAAAGAAGAAGAAGGTGCCTCCAAAGAGCAGCCCATGAGGGTCTGTGGAATGGCCCTCTGCCGCTCGGGGACACGTGCACGGTCCCCGCGCCTGTCCTCACTGCCAGGGCGCCTGGCCACGGCGCTGCTGAGAAGCCCCTGCGTGACGACAGAGCAGCCTGGGCGGGCCTGTGTGGGTCCTCTGCGCTCACCGTGCACCTTACGGCGCTGTGGTGGGTGTGCAGGGGATCCTTCCCACGGCACACAGGTCTGTGACACCAGCCAGGATGCTGCCCTTCAACTCCATGCTGGCAGCGTACAGAGTCAGGCCTCACAGGGAACGGCTCAGTCCCAAAGTGCAAGCAGACATCACTACGCACCAGTCAGACCGTCCGTCACCAAAAATGTTAACAAGCGTTGGCGAGGAAGCGGAGAAAAGGAAACCCTCGTGTGCCGTGGGCAGGAACGCAAACTGGTGCAGCCACTGTGGAAAACAGTGTAGAAGTTCCTGAAAAACCACAGAATGTCTACACAGTCCAGCAATGCCACCTGTGGGTATTAATCCGAAGAATACAAAAACGCTAATTCAAAAAGACATCTGCACCCGTCTTCACTGCAGCATTATTTACAATAGTCAGGGTACGAAAGCAGCCTGAGTGCCCATCAGTACATAAATCGGTGAAGACGTGACATATATAACGAATACTTTAAAAAAAAAAAAAAAAAACTTTCTGGCCATCAAAATAAAAAAAAAAAAAATAGAGGAGGAGGCAAAGGAAGGGAGGAGGAGGGGGAGGAGGAGAGGGGCGCCTGAGTGGCTCAGTCGCTTAAGCGTCTGACTTCGGCTCAGGTCATGATCTCACGGTTCGTGGGTTCGAGCCCTGCGTCGGGCTCTGTGCTGACAGCTTGGAGCCTGGAGCTGCTTTAGATTCCGTGTCTCCCTCTCTCTCTGTCCCTCCCCTGCTCATGCTGTCTGTCAAAAATAAATACACATAAAAAAAAAAAAATTAAAGACCAAAGATCCTCAAGTGTTCTTATCAGTTAGGACATTTCGAGAGTTTTAGAAGCTCCGTGCCCGCACCTAGGAGCAGAGACCACTGCATACATGTCTCATTATTATTTCACGAGGCTGGAGCATGTAATGGTGGAAGCTCTGCCCGGGAATTGGAACCCGGGAGAGTTTTAACCAGTAAAGCGTCAGACAACTGAGTTAGCGTCCTCGGGCCTTTTCAGGTTAACAAGCATCGAAGTGTATAACTGGTAATAATTATAGTATTACCACTAATATTTAGTATATAGTAAATTAGACACAGCATGATAAGTGGTACTTGCTATATTTATACTTATTTACACTACGTTCTTATACACTGAATACTACACACTGTTAATACTAGTGATACTGGGGGCGCCTGGGTGGCTCAGTCGGTTAAGCGTCCGACTTCAGCTGAGGTCACGATCTCATGGTTCGTGGGTTCGAGCCCCGTGTCGTGCTCTATGCTGATGGCTCAGAGCCTGGAGCCTGTAGTAAACTCATCTAGATGGACGTACACTCACGCACATAAGATCACCTATACTTACACGCACACAGCCAGCTCTACGCATTCCTAGAGCTGCCTGACTGTTGTCAAACACGTCCGGGAAGGAACGCTCACGCCTGACACAGTCAGGGCAGTTTCCACCCCGATCTGCATCTTGCTCACGGAAGGTGAGAGAATGCCTGGGCGGGAGGGCACGCCCACCAGCTGGCAAGTCCAAGACCCCAAGACAAAGGGCAGTTCTCCTGCAGGTGAAAGCCTCCCATATTGATGGCTCTACCTTCTGCACCTTAAGGGGCCTCTGGGCCAGATGGTTGGCGAGGCGGGGCCACGGCTGTCCCCTAAGGCTTCCTTGGCTTTGCACTCACAGGCCTGCTTCATAGATTACAAAACAGTTCTCTGGCCAGCAGCTTTGAGGACGTCCCCATTCACGCGTCCCTGTCCAGGGGCTCAGTGCACGTGGGGATGTCCCCATTCAGGCATCCCCATCCACGTGTCCCCGACCATGGGCTCTGGGCACCCGCTACGGCCCCATTCATGCATCCCCGACCATGGATCTTCCTGGTTGGACCTGGACCTGGCAGGCGCCCTTGCCGACCTCCCCTGTGAACACGGTGTTGGCATCAGATGCTCCCTGTGACTCTGGCTCTTCCCTCAGTTTCCAGGGAAAACTGCCCTGAACACGACCCCCATGCCCGCTGCCAATCCCGATTCTCCTCCCACTGCCCCCGACTGTGCTGGGCTAGGGCCTCGCTGTGACCTGCGACCCCTGGACCGGCCTTGGGCCCTCAGCCCCACGCTGAGCAATTAGCAGCAGAACGAACATTTTCTTCCTTCTTTTTGTCGAGGCAGCCCCCCCACCCCAAGCAGGGTACCAGGAACAGGCGTACACCCATTGGACACTGGGGACAAGCGCACTCATCGGGCACCGCCCAGGGCACCGGGACAGGCGCGCACGCACCGGGCACCGCCCAGGGCACCGGGACAGGCGCGCGCGCACCGGGCACCGCCCAGGGCACCGGGACAGGCGCGCGTGCACCGGGCACCGCCCAGGGCACCGGGACAGGCGCGCGTGCACCGGGCACCGCCCAGGGCACCGGGACAGGCGCGCGTGCACCGGGCACCGCCCAGGGCACCGGGACAGGCGCACTCATGGGGCAACAGCCAGGGTACCGGGACAGGCGCGCACGCACCGGGCACCGCCCAGGGCACCGGGACAGGCGCGCACGCACCGGGCACCGCCCAGGGCACCGGGGCAGGCGCGCACGCACCGGGCACCGCCCAGGGCACCGGGACAGGCGCACTCATGGGGCAACAGCCAGGGTACCGGGACAGGCGCGCACGCACCGGGCACCGCCCAGGGCACCGGGGCAGGCGCGCACGCACCGGGCACCGCCCAGGGCACCGGGACAGGCGCACTCATCGGCCACTTCAGCACTCCCAACTATCTGAGATCCTTGGTTTTACGCCACTGGCTGGGTTTTCCCCGGCGCCGGAGAACATTCACGAGACAGACCTCAGGCTCCCTGGGCGTGCAGGTACCTGAAACTGCTCACACACGACTCCTGTCTCCTTCCCTGTGCTGTGGTTTTGTTGGCACAGAAAACGGTGAGGCTTTAAGAAAAGTGTTCCTGGGTCATGCGCTGAGCACGCGGCGTTCACACGACCTCTTTGCTGGCACGGGTTTTCGAGGCATTCACAGCGTACTCTGCCTGAACAAGGCACAAAGCGGAGGGAGGGCTGCTTCCTTCTCCTCCACGCCAGCACAAAGGCCTTCTCCACACCCTCTGGCTGGTGCAGGGTGGCCTGTAGGCAATGACCCCTCATGAGGGGGTGTCAGGAAGGTCCCTACTAGAAGGAGAAGGAAGGACAGGCAGTATGTTCTTGGACATTCTTTTTCTAGCACTTCAGAGAAGTCTGAACAAATGGCAAGTGCAGATACCGAATGAGCGAGAAACTAGACTCGGGTCTACATCACTAGACTGTGAGGCGCCTGGGGGGCTCGGTCAGTTAACCACCCCACTTCGGCTCAGGTCATGATCTCACGGTTCATGGGCTGGAGCCCCACATCGGGCTCTGTGCAAACAGCTCAGAGCCTGGAGCTGCTTCGGATTCTCTGTCTCCCTCTCTCTCTGCCCCTCCCCTGCTCATGCTCTGTCTCAAAAATAAATACACATTAAAAAAATTCAAACGTAAGGATGAGCAGGGAAGAAGAAGGAGCAGAGGCGGGACAGAAAGATGCAGGTCCCGTTCGAGGACTCGGGGTAAAGCAAGTGGTGACGAAGGAGAAAGAGCGTGGAGGAAATACGAATCCCGAACAGAAGCGAAGCGGTGGCCTTCGCAAATGCTTTATTTAAACGCTGTTTACTGAAAGCCTCGTGTCAGAGCTTTTAATTTACAAGACGCTGAGCTGCGGCGTTACCTATCTGCAGGAGGCTGTGCAGACCACTCTTCTTCAGCATTTAGATAAAACCGTCCCAAATTCCCATTGAATACGTGAGGCTCTAAACAAGTAATGAGAGTCCTCAGATCCGAGGATGACTGTG